GCATGGAGGCAGGAGCTGTGCAGAGCAGGTGGTGGGGTGGGGGGTGGGGGGGGGACAAGAAATTCTGAATGATGATTTGGGGTTGGAGAGGGGGCAGAATTGCAGAATTGGGGTGGGGTTGAAGGTCCTAGATAGGCGAGTGGCCACATTTGGAGAAGGAAAGCTATAGAAGAGATGGGGGAGGGTGGCAGGCGAAATTAGGGGACAAATGACCCTGGGAGTCAGAAAAAAATGACAGGTTTAAAGAGATAGAAGAGTGTCAACAGAAGATCCACCCCCTCCCCCACCAGGGTCCCATGGGGTCCCCATCTGGGAGACCTGGCCCACAGTGGGTCAGTGAGCATGAAACAATGTGCAGGAATCTGGACCATCCTTCGAGGTGGGAAGATAGGGGCCTCTCTTTTTCTTGAGACTCGCTGGGCCTGGGGCATGGTCCCTTCCACCCAGAGGGGCAAGAGGCCTCAGGGGAAAGGGCTGGGTGGTTGGTGTCACCCTGAACCCAGCTCCCCGCTGGTGGGAACAGCTCGTGTCCTCTCAGGAAAGAGAAGGGAAAACTGGGAAAGTGGAGGGAAGCAGAGCTAGAGAGAGAGAGAGACATAGAAACAGATGCAGTGACCTCATGAAAACCAGAAGCAACCAGGGGAAGATAGAGCCGGAGGGGGAGCCAGGGCACTGGTGTCCCTGGGGAGATGAGGCGCATCTTCTGCCATGAGCCCCCTTGCCCGCCCCCTACCCCCTGCTCATGGCTCCTTCCTGCCTATTCCCAGGAGTCGTGCCCCTGCTGCTGGTTCTGCACTGGAAACATGGGGCGGGGAGCCCCCTTCCTATCACCCCTGTCAACGCCACCTGTGCCACACGCCACCCATGTCACAGCAACCTCATGAACCAGATCAGGAACCAACTGGCGCAGCTCAATGGCAGTGCCAATGCCCTCTTTATTCTCTATGTAAGTCCCCCTTCCAGGTCCTGAGAGAGGAGGGAGGGAGGGGGGAGGGCTGCTGCACTGACCTGGGCTGTCGGGGCTGGTCAGGGAAGAGAGCTTTTGGAGCTGGAAGGAAAGAATGGAGAAAGGGCTTGGTTCAACCACATGCGGACTCCCACAGCTTCTGAGCCCCCCACCCCACCCCCAACCCAGGCTCTGAGACTGGAAGCCACTTTCCCAAGGTGCCCAGTTCATCCTGGGCAGAGCTGGGGGAGAAGGGAGAGGCCGGGCACTGATGGTCTAGGGACTCCTCCCCCACGTGGAGCAGAAGGCCGATGAGAGACAGAGAGGAAGTAGGGGGGCCAGAGAGATGCTTTTGGGAAAGTGGGCTGCGGGTGTCTGGAGGTGCAAAGCCGCCGAGGAAGAAGAGGAGGACGGTGGGTTGAAAGAGCAAGTGTGCGTGGTGTGCCCGCAAGAAGTGGGACATGGTGTTTCCCTTCAGTCCCCTGATGCTCTTGCTGGTGGTGATGACGATCCCTTGCCTGGTGTGGCCCTTGATTCTTTACCAAGTGTGTTCACACCACGATTATTCTGGGCTCTCATAACAATCCCAAGATGCCTACGGGGCAAGTAGTCAGCTCTCTGTGCCAGAGGTGGGAAACTGAGACCCAAGAGCTCACCCAGAGGCTTGGTGGCCAGGCTGAAATACCCGTCCCTGACCCCCACATCACCTCCCCTCTCCCTCTCTGCTCCTTAGTACACGGCCCAGGGGGAGCCGTTCCCCAACAACCTGGACAAACTGTGCGGCCCCAACGTGACGGACTTCCCGCCATTCCATGCCAACGGCACAGAGAAGACCCGGTTAGTGGAGCTGTACCGCATCATCGCTTACCTTGGTGCCTCCCTGGGCAACATCACCCGGGACCAGAAGGTCCTCAATCCCAATGCCCTCAGCCTCCACAGCAAGCTGAACGCCACTGCAGACATCATGCGGGGCCTCCTCAGCAACGTGCTCTGCCGCCTGTGTAACAAGTATCACGTGGCCCACGTGGACGTGGCCTATGGCCCTGACACCTCAGGCAAGGACGTCTTTCAGAAGAAGAAGCTGGGCTGTCAGCTCCTGGGGAAGTATAAACAGGTCATTGCTGTGGTGGCCCAGGCCTTCTAGACAGGAGGTCTTGAAGCATGCAGTGAGTGACCTGAGATCTTAGGCTCAGGCAGCTGTCAAACTGTGGCCAGGGCCCAGAGCATTGCCAGACCCAAGTGGGGACTGCTGGCAGACCCCGAGGGGTTTCTGGACAGTCCATTCCCCTCTAGGTGGGCTGTGATGAAGCCGAGCAGAATCAAAACACCCAAAGGCAGGGCCTATCTACAGCGCCAATTAGAAGAAGGCACCCCTTCCTCTGGAGACTGCAGCCAGGCACTAGGGTGTCGGGCTGGTCAGGGGATTATGGGCTGGACCTCTGTCCCCACTTGTCCCCTTGGCCAGGGACTTTGTGAGAAAACTGTACAAGTTGTCCATGGTGACCCTGACCATGGGGCAAGACAGCAGGAGTCAGGGGACTCTCCCAGCCCCGCAGAATGACTGCCATTGGTGCCTTTGCTGCCCCTTAATGTAGGTTTTGGAAGGTTTGACTGGGCTCGGGCAGGCCAGAGGAGCTGGGGTCCTGAGGACTCCTTGGCCCCTACAAGTATAGCGAGTGGAAGTTAGAGAAGGGAGTTCTGGTTTGAGATGCTCCTTCTCTTGAGCATGATTGGAGAGCTCAGGCCTAGGGACTGGACTATGAGGCAGAAAGTTCCAGAATGAGCTCGCTGGCATTCAGGCTCCTAGGGAGGCAGAAAGGCCACCTTCGGGCCTGGGAAGGAAGAGAGGTCCGGAAAGCTTTGACAAGCTCTCCTTCTTGCCCTCAGGCTTTCCTGAAGCCTGGGATGGCCAGGGTCTGGTGGCTGGACCTGGAGGTAGGGTTTGTGGAGGTGGGCAGGTGGCAAAGTCAGCTGAGGAGGTTCTGAGGGGACCCAGATTCTTCCTTCTGGGCAATGGTCTATAAGGGATGGGAAGGACTAGGTAGTTAAGAGTGGCAGCTCACATCTGGGACCCAGGGAGGCCCTGTGACGTCACACAAAGGTACTTGAGGGGGACCAGAGGTCATCTCTGGTTCCTAGGGCAAGGGAACAGCAGAACCTGAGGTCAGGGTCTCAGAGAAGCCTGAGAGCCGAGAGTGCTGTGTGTCTGACCCAGCATGATTGTCTATTTATTATGATGTCCTATTTATATTAACTTATTGGTGCTTTAAATGGCAAAGTTAATTCCCCTTTCCCTGCTTCCTACCCAACAGAAATAATATGATGGCTCCTATAGGAGCCAGGGCCAGACCTTAGCAGGGACTGGTCCAGAAGTCAAGGATGTTACAAGTGGAATAAGCCTTACGGGTGAAGCTCAGAGGAGGGTCAGGATCTGAGAAAACTGGTGGGGGAGGGGAGCAGGGGACCCGGCTCCATACCCCATCCCAAATGTGACTTGCTCTGGGGGTATCAGGATCCTGGCTGCAAGGCAGGCCGGGCCAGTTTGTGGAGTGGCCAGGGGCCTTCCACAGGGCTGCCATGTTGGTTGGCTCCAGGGGGCTCGTTCAACTCTGTGTTTTCTGGCACCTCCTGGAATTGTGATCAGGGGCAACATTCGTGGTTGAAATGGTGCTCCTAGAGCACTGGGTAAGGCATTCCTGGTGGCCTGCTCTGCTGCTCTTTCCTTGTCCCCAGGCTGCCTCTAAGCCAGCAGTTGAGGGGCTCTGGAACATCCACATGCAGTACCCAGCATGCTTGCACACAGTGGGGAAGCTCCTTCTCGGGTGGCCCAAACACCCACAAAGGGCGAGAGGGCCTGGCTGGACCTTGGGAAGCTGGGGCGGTGCAGGGAGGAGCTCCCTACTCCAGAGAGGAGAACAGGGAGGCCCTGGGCCGAGGACCAGGAAGCTGTGGTCCCTGCTGCCCCACCTCCCCCCACGCCCCCACCCATGTCTGGGCTCCCAGGCAGGGAACCCGATCCTTTCCTTTGTGCTGGGGCCAGGCTAGTGGAGAAACGCCCTCCGGTCTGGGAGCAAGGGAGGGGGTGCGGAGCTGGGGCAGCTGCTAAAAGCAGCATTCTGGCTTCTTCTCAAACCCTAAGCGGGTGGCGGTCCTAGTGGTTCAGCCAATGTGATTATGGTACTTTGCACTCACTTTGCACCTCTCTGTCTTCTCTGAGCACTTTACCCATGCACACCAGGTGGCAGGTGGTGAGGCAGCAGGTGGGTCCTGACTCCTGGGGCAGGGGGCAAGGCGGGGGTGCAGAGTTGGGAGTTGTCCGTCCCATTGGCAAGGCTATTTTGTGGCGGGTGGCAGAGGAGACCATGAACCTCTTTCTGAGGCTGTCTTCATCTGGGTCATACTCACCCTCATCCAGTGTCTGAGCCTGCTGCCCTCCCTGCGCTTTGGTGAACACGGCTCAGAAGGCTTGGGGCTAGCTGGGTCCTTAATCATCCCATCACCTTGAGTACACCGACTCCCAGTGCTGAGCCCACCTGGGCAGCCTCTGAGGCCCAGGGACCAAGGGGATCTCCTTCCCTGAGCCCAACACAGACCCTCTGCCTCCCTCTTCCTGCCTCTGCCCTTCCTGCCCCTATTTCCTGCCCTGCCCCTCAGCCCCCATCCTCAGCTCTCTTTCTAGAACCAATCCAGAAGACCACTTTGCACAGCATCCTGGAATTATGGAGCTTCTGTGTGGAAAAAGTTTTGCAGGGCAGGAAGCTGTCCTTTTCCTCGTTTTTCATCTGCTGGTGTGGACCCACACCTGCATCCTGGGTCAAGAGGAGAAGGGAGAGGCTGTCAGCAGAGGAGGGGGTAGGACAGTCATTTTGTAATTTATGGACAAAGCAATATTGGGGACTTTATTTATTTAAAAACATTTTAAACAAAAAGAGCACCGCTGGTTTATTTGTCTCTCCTCTTCCTCTCCTTGCCCCTCTTTGGGGACTCCCCCAACTCCTTCCTCCTGAAGCAATCCCACCCCACCTTGCTGACTCTCCAGAATAGACGCAGCATGTGGGGTTGGAGGCTGGAATCAAGTGAGAATTTCCCTTCAGATGGTACAGAGGTCCTTTTAGATCACCCCACCCCCCGACCTCGATTCCAGTACCTGGACATCTCTCCCATTCGCACTGCTGGCTCCGTTTGTCCCTCCGTGTTTCCCTCCTTCCTTTCTACTGGACAGGACTTGGCCTTGTGGGACAAATTCCTCTTTGATGAATGTACCCTGTGGGAATGTTTCATACTGACAGATTATTTTTATTTATTCAATGTCATATTTAAAATATTTATTTTTTATACTGAAGGAATACTTTTTTTTTTTTAAGAAAAAAGAGAAATTAATAAAGAATCTGCTCTTGGCAAGCTCTCCAGACTGTATTGATGTGGGAAGATGGGGCTGAAGGGGCTGAGACTGTCTCTCCACCCAACTGAGTGGAGTTCTGCTCGACAAAGGGCAGGCGGTTGGGAAGAGGGGGGCACTTCCACCGGGCAAGGGTGCTGGCATGGGTGCATGGGGGTGGTGGGCAGAACAGGCACAGGTGGAACAAGGTGGGTGGGTTCCAGACCCTGAAGTGTTGCCCAGAAAGGCCCCAGCCCTCTCACTGTAGCCCCATGAGTCTCTAAGAGCCATTTAACAGAGAGAGAAACTGAGGCTCAGACAGATAAAGCCACTTGCCAGGGGTCCTATTGGCAGAGTGTTTAGCACCACCCCTGAGCTCCAAATCTCATGCTCTTTCTGCTACATGGAACTTCAGGGATCTAGAAAATTCCAGCTGCTGTCCTCAAGGAGTGGCCCAGTGACCGTCCAAGGGGAGCTAAAGGGCGTAGGCATGAATGACTTTGGAGCAGGAAATCTAAGTAAGGGTCCTGTCCAGAATTGTGCAGGATGCTGGGGCCGGGATGGGGGTTTTCTGTCCGGCTCTTCTAGGCCTAAGCAGCCCTCCCATAATGAACGCTGCTGTCCTGTCCCTCTGTCTGTTTCACATGTGGGGACCTCCTTCCACTGCAACCTTCTTCCTAGCCTCCTGGGACTCCTTCCTTGGGGAATAAGGGAGGTTGGGACCAGATAGCCATAGACATAGAGGCTCTGGGGTTTGGGTCTTGGGGCTCCCCCAGCTGAGATTCATTTGAGGATCTGGGCAGTTTTTCTGAGAGTCACCTGCTTGCTCTTTCATGAGCGTTTATAAGCGTCAGGTCCTGTGTTGGGTTCCAAAGGTGAATAGGATACAGTCCAGGACTTCTGGAAGCTCAAGGGCCAGTGGGGACAATGACTGAGCACATCCGGGAGGATGTGAATGATGAAAGAGGCACATAGAAGGTGCCAGAGGCCAAGGTGGAGAGAGCACTCACTGCACTGGGTGTCAGCAGGGGGCTCAGTCGGTGGTCCTCCCTGCTGTCTGTGCAATGAAGGGCCTTGACCCACGACACTGGGCAACGTTGGCCTCACCTGAGAGCTGATCAGGAACGCAGAATCTTGCTTCCACCCCCACCGCAGACCTGCTGAATAGAAATCTGCCTTTTAACAAGATCCCAGGGGATTTGTGTGGCTATCCAAGTCTGAGAAAGGCCACCTTGCAGTCCTTCCTTTTCTCACTCCTCCTGAGTCTATGAAGATGCCAAGTGTAAATCGTCAAGGGCGGCACAGGCAGTGGCTTGGGAGGGGGAGTCTGCCTGGTCCCTGGGGCCTGACCCACAGCTATTTGGGTCTCTTCCTCCCCAAGTCCAGCCGGTGACGGCCCCTCCCAGTGGCCTGGATCCCATGGTCAGGCTACTCCCCACCAGCACTGCCCTCCTTCCCCTTCTCTCCTGGGAGACAAGGTTGTAGCTTTTCAAAAGAAATCTTTACCAGGAAACAAGAGGAAAACAAAACAAGCACCAAGGCACAGAAATGAGGGAAGTACAGGGATGTCACATCCTGTCTGCTGTGCTGTGGGGCCAGCCAGGTGCCTGGGCCCCTAGGTATTTCCCTCACCTCTGTCTGAGGCAGAGGAGTTCGGAGCTCTGGGTCCCTGAGGAGAGGACAGGTGTTCTGTGCTTTGCCCTGCCCTGGCCAGACAGAACAAAGGACTGTTGATTGGTTATTGGATTACTGTCCCAATAAGAGGT